CAAGCTTTGCTGCAAATCCTTTTGTTGCGTCAGATAAGTCGTGTCGGCGGCACCAAACTTGTTGACCCACTTTTAGGTTCAGGGGTCGTCTCCGGGTATTATAGTAGCGAGCTTGCTTTGCGTAAGCTACTGCTAGGTTTTTCCGTACAAGTGCATGAATTGCTCGGAAACGTTCGTTGCGTTCATCCATAAGATTTGAGGTAGCTTCTTTGCCGCCCTCGACCAAATCTACTTGTTGTAGAGATTCTGGCATCTTTAGTTCTCGTCCAAAATTTAGAAAGGCAGGGCTGTAGCCAGTAGAATCATGTACAGATGAATTTATTGCAAAACGGAATTCTCCAAGGAATTTGTCCCACTGTTTATGGTTGTCCGTTATGAATTGCCGTATCATTGTTTTTATCACCCTATTGCACCTCTCCGTAGGATTGGATTGTGGAGAATAAGGGGCTGTGAATCTTTGCTCGATTTGCCAATCCTTTGCTAATTGGCCGAATATTCGAGACGTGAACTGTGTACCATTGTCCGTAAGGATGACTGCAGGGGCACCATACCGTAGCATTATAACCTCTTTAAACTTTTCCTTGATCTCTTTGGCAGTAGCATTACGTAAAGGGACGATCTCAACCCACTTGGTAAATAAGTCTTGGATAACCAGGGCAGAGGTAAAACCCTTTGTAGACCGAGGAAAAGGTCCAATCAAGTCAGCAACCACTGTGTACCACGGGCCTTCTGGTTTTCTAAAATGCATTAACCCCATTGGAGGTTTCTGTTCAGGTTTGTGTCTTTGACACACAGTGCACTTCCGCACATATTCTGTCACGTCTTTCTTCCAGCCAGGCCAATAAAAGCGTTGTCTCACTCTAGCAATCGTTTTTCTGGTTCCTAAGTGTCCAGCAGTAGGTCTATCGTGGGTCTCTTCCAAAACTAATTGTCTGTCTGCCTCGGGAACGCAGAGTTTCCATAATGTAGTTGGATCTTGAATACCTCTCATTGGCCTGCATTTTCTGTACAATTTATCCTCCTTCACCACATAATTGTCTAGCTGTGATTTCTTGGCTCTCTTTAACAGTGATTCATACCAGTTGAGAGCCCTTCGAACATTTTTATTTGTGTGATTTCCATTCTGGCCGGGATTTGGTGTTCCAGAACTCTCAACCCCTAATTCATTTAGAAAGCTTTGTTCGACGTTCTGTTGGGCTGGAAAACGAGATAGTGTGTCTGCTAAAGTATTATTTATGCCCTTACGGTAGCAGATGTCGAAACTGTACTGTTGAATTTCTAGGATCCATCTTCCTAGTCGCCCAGATGGTTCTTTTATAGATAACAACCACTTTAGCGCTTGATGGTCAGTTTCTGCTTTGAAGTGGTATCCCTCGAGATATGGCCGAAATGTCTTAATGCCCCAAACTAATGCCAAACATTCTTTTTCAGTCGTGCTATACTTTTTCTCTAAATCTGATAACAGTCGACTGGCAAATGCAATGGCAACCTTTTTACCATCTTGTTTCTGTGTTAAGGCTGCTCCCACGCCAAAGTCTGAAGCGTCTACTTGCAGTATAAATTCCTGTGTAAAATCAGGACATGCAAGGTTTGGTGCTTTGCTAAGCTCTTCCTTTAGCCGTTCAAACGCTCTTTGATGATGGTCGTTCCATTCAAACCTTGTCGATTTTTTTAGTAAAGAGGTCATGGGACTACTTATCTTGGCAAAATCTTTTATGAACCGTCTATACCATGACAACAAACCCAAAAACCTGCGCAATGACTTTTGATTTTCAGGTACTGGGAACTCGAGCATCGTTCGCACTTTTTCAGGGTCCGTATGAACTCCATTTCTATTGACTATATGTCCCAGGTATTTGAGTTCTGTCTTACCAAAATGACATTTCTCTGGATTTAGTTTAAGACCCGCTTCCCTCAGTCGTCGAAATACTTCTTTTAGTAATTGCAAGTGTTCGTCAAAAGTCTTACCAAGAACAATTATATCGTCCAGATAAGCGAAAGCTTTTGGTTCTAGATCAGGACTTATGATAGTGTCCAGTAACCTTTGAAACGTGGCTGGTGCGGAATGAAGTCCAAATGGCATCACCTTAAATTGGAACAAACCTATTCCGGGGACGGTGAATGCAGTGATAGGTCGGCTTGTGTCGTTTAGGGGAATCTGCCAGTAGCCATTTTTCAGATCAATAGTAGAAATGTAATTTGCCTCGCGGAGTTTGTCAAGAACCCCACTGATGTATGGTAGAGGGTAGGCATCCTTGATGGATAGGTCGTTCACTTTCCTAAAATCAATGCAGAAGCGGACCTTTCCTGACGGTTTTCTTACTAAGACCACAGGAGAGCTCCATGGGCTTGAAGATGGTTCTATGACTCCGTTTTGTAGCATTTCCTCCACTTCCTTTTTCATCACTTCTTGCATGGCTGGGTTGCGCGGGTAGTATCGTTGTTTAACTGGATGTCTGGTCTTGAGGCGTATCTCGTGTTCCACCAGGTTTGTTCTCCCAGGGACGTCCTTAAATTTTGCTAATTCCTCGTCCAAGAACAATTTCAAGGCGCTTTCCTCTTCAATAGTAAGTGTACTGATTCCTGAGAGGTTAGTTTCCGATTTCTCCTTGTCAAGTTCCACATTGTAACTTATTTTTGGACAATTTATGGTTATGAGATTTAGTTTGTGTAGCAAATCAATTCCCAATATCACGGAAGTAGACAAATTTGTCACATGAATCGCATCAACTATGCACTCTTTAGTACCTATTTTGATAGGAAAAGTGTAACTGTTCTCTACGATTGCTAAAGTCTTATTGGCCAGATGTACTTTAACCTTAGGGCTCGTAGACTTGACTTGATTTTTCTTCAAATGGTCGGCTACATCATCCGAGATAAATGTCATCATTGCTCCAGTATCCACGAGTGCCACATATATTGTGTTTAAAATACTGACCTCAACATAGGGTCGTTTATCACATACCAAAGTGGGCTGGGTGGCATTTAAATGAAAATTTGCTACGTAGTTTAACCACTCAGGCCAGTTTTGGGAAGATTTTACAATCGTTTCCGGCACTCCTGACTTCCCTGTTTCGGGGCCGGATAACCGTTTCCCGCCCGGCATTGGCAGGTGGTTGTCAGTTGACCTTCAGTTTTGCAGTAATAACACCTGATCTTTCGGGGTTTGGTACAGTCTCGGAACATATGTCCCTCCATATTACAATTCCAACAAATTGGGATTGATGGGGTATTTTTTAATGAAATTGGAATATTCGTATTTCTCTGTGGCGTATAGAAGGTGCTGGTACTCCTTAGCTGGCGGTGAGGTTCGGCTTGTTGACCCTTCGTCGTTTGATTCGAGATATTTCCGCTGTAGAGGACCCCATTTTTGCTGGTGGCATTGTTTCTGTTACTATCCATCTTGGGTTCGGCTCTACTGGCTGGGATGGGAAGTAGCTCTTCTAAACGTACTACTTCTGTAGAATCACTTCTTCTCTTTCCACTTGGTTGGTAGGCAGTCTCCGGGGTCAAAGATTGGGCGGGTCCAGGTGGAGGCCGAAAGGTTGTTCTGTCTCGGAGAATTGATTCATATTCATCAGCTCATGTCAGTAAATCAGCCACAGTCCTGATGTCTTGACGGCGGATGTAGAACTTGTACTCAGGTTTCAGGTTTCCATAGATCTTCTCCAGTTTCCTTTCTTCGTTGTATCCTCCTCGTCGGCGAATAAGAGTGGAGATGGCTATAACAAATTGACGACAGCTTTCTTTTTCTCCCTGGGTTCGGTCTTGTATTTCTCTGTCAAGATTTTTGTAGTATCTTGATGGTAAAAACTGTAGTTCGAAATCAGTTTGAAAGTCAGCGAAGTTCCGCCATGCGTCATGATTATTTCGCCACCAGAGCAGAGCGTTGCCTTTAAAGATCTCTGGTAAAGCCCGTAGAATATGATTTTGGGGTATTGCGTATGCTTCAATCAGTTCGTTTAAGCGTTCCATAAAAGATACAGGGTCGGTGTAACCATCAAATTTTATGTTCCATTTCCGAACATGATTACACAGCGTAGCGGTTTGATTTAATATTTGAGGTTTCTGGCCTGCGAACTCGTTTTCCTCAACATAATAATACTTTGTCGCATCTATAGGCGCAGGTTTTGCGGCTCCATGATGAAAGAAACTGGGAGGTTGGTTCAACTGGGCATGGTCAAGAAATTGGCGATTGTTTATATTGTAGTGGTGCCTGTGGTCCCTTGCGGGTAGAGGGACGGTTTCTGGTTTGTGTGTTTCAATTTTCACAAGGTCAACTAATCTGTGCCTAAGAGTATTCAGATCTACATTGGCGGGTAGCCCAACTATCTCTTTTAGGTTATCGATGGCGTCTTGTTCGCCGACTCTTCTTAATAATCTCCTATCTTGCGAGGGCTCCTTCGGTATGGCTCCAAGATGTTCTGGTTGCTCCATATTCATCGATGTGTGATCGTCCTTTTCTGATGAAGTGTCGGTCTCTCCTTCTAAAGTTGCGTTCGTAGCTCTAAGATTATCCACGAGTCGTTTTCTCATCTCCCTTACATTACCTGAGTCTTTCAGATTTCTCAACCGACATTCCTCTTGTAGTTTTATTTTCGGTAGTGTATAGATCCATCCAACTCGATCATCCTGTGGCTGGCTTAGATTGTCCACTTGACTGTTCGTTTGCGTAGCCATAATAGGAGGGTTTAGAGGCGAGGAAGACGTTGTCGTGGTCGTGGTTGTGAGCGTAATTGTGGTGACATGTGTTTGGGGTAACGGTGGAAAATCACTTCTTTGGAGAGATTTGGCTTCGCGTTCATCGTCACTCTCGGTCATTTTTTTGTTTCCTGTCTTTTTTTCCGTAGATACTGTTTGTTTAACAGTCCCTGTTCGGGCGCCAAAATGTGTGACGTACTTTCACGAAGGTCGTCTCAATCGTTGCCACGGATGACTCAGTCGTCGCTGGGTTGGTTATTCCAGGGGTCTATGGGAAGGAAAAGGATAAACTCAGATATATGGCTATAAGTTCTAAGACTTCAGGGGTGCCAGTATCATCACCGTTTGTGGGTGGGGAAGTAGGGATTGCTCGGATTGCTCTAGCACTGTAGTAAAGAAACAAATTATAGCTAAAACTACTCTAGCACTGGAGTCGGATGCTTAGATTGCTCTAGCACAGGAGTCGGATGCTTAGATTGCTCTAGCACTGTGGATCGGATGCTTAGATTGCTCTAGCACTGGTGTCGGATGCTAAGATTTCTCTAGCACAGGAGTCGGATGCTTAGATTGCTCTAGCACTGGTGTCGGATGCTAAGATTTCTCTAGCACTGGGTATCGGATGCTAAGATTACTCTAGCACTGTTAGGGCGATGCTCACCTTACAATCGAAGTGTACTGGTCAGCTGCCCGGGAGCGAATGAGAATGATGTCCCGAGCAGCCCTCCTTTTATGCGAAAACCTGGTCAGCCTGGTGGGGGTAGTCCGCGCATGCGCAGTAGTCCTGAAATGGTTAGTCATGTCTTGGACTTTTAGGGGTGAGGATCGGACAATCTATTTGCATTGGAAATTGATTTTTGGGAACATTTTGAGGTTATGTTTGGCTGAACAGGTTTGGACAGGAATGGAAACTGTTGAATGGTATCGGTGGTATCAGGGGGCGACGTAGGGCGATAGAAGGTGACGTAGGATAGGAGAAGGAGACGTGTGGGTAGGGGGAAGGCGAGGGATGTAGCGGAAGGAGACGTGACGTGTTGGAAGGCGACGTGGGGCTGCGGAAGGAGACGTGGCGTGTTGGAAGGAGACGTGTGGTAAGGGGAAGGTCGGAGGATGTAGCGGAAGGCGACGCTGGGTCGGGGAAGGCGACGTGAGGCTGCGGAAGGAGACGTGGCGTGTTGGAAGGAGACGTGTGGTAAGGGGAAGGTCGGAGGATGTAGCGGAAGGCGACACTGGGTCGGGGAAGGCGACTTGAGGCTGCGGAAGGAGATGTGGCGTGTTGGAAGGAGACGTGTGGTAAGGGGAAGGTCGGAGGATGTAGCGGAAGGAGACGCTGGGTCGGGGAAGGTGACGTGAGGCTGCGGAAGGAGACGTGGCGTGTTGGAAGGAGACGTGCGGTAAGGGGAAGGTCGGAGGATGTAGCGGAAGGAGACGCTGGATCGGGGAAGGCGACGTGAGGCTGCGGAAGGAGACGTGGCGTGTTGGAAGGAGACGTGTGGTAAGGGGAAGGTCGGAGGATGTAGCGGAAGGCAACGCTGGGTCGGGGGAGGCGACGTGGGACTGCGGAAGGAGACGTGGAGTGTTGGAAGGAGACGTGTGGTAAGGGGAAGGTCGGAGGATGTAGCGGAAGGAGACGCTGGATCGGGGAAGGCGACGTGAGGCTGCGGAAGGAGACGTGGCGTGTTGGAAGGAGACGTGTGGTAAGGGGAAGGTCGGAGGATGTAGCGGAAGGCAACGCTGGGTCGGGGGAGGCGACGTGGGACTGCGGAAGGAGACGTGGAGTGTTGGAAGGAGACGTGTGGTAAGGGGAAGGTCAGACGATGTAGCTGAAGGAGACGCTGGGTCGGGGAGGGAGACGTGAGGCTGCGGAAGGAGACGTGGAGTGTTGGGAGGAGACGTGTGGTAAGGGGAAGGTCAGACGATGTAGCGGAAGGAGACGCTGGGTCGGGGGAGGCGACGTGAGGCTGCGGAAGGAGACGTGGAGGGTTGGAAGGAGACCTGTGGTAAGGGGAAGGTCAGAGGATGTAGCGGAAGGAGGTATGGGTGAGGCTAAATAGAAAACAAATACCCCCGCCGCAGCAAACCTGCCGTCTAAGCGAATTTCCATTTGGCCGAATTGATTTTCAATTGATCTATTTAAATAACATTAGGTTTAACGAGTACCTAGGTTTGCTGCTACAAGGAAACTAATAAAGTAGTGTGTTTTTAGTAAAATATTGATAGCTTACTATAAAATAAATAAATTGGCCAAGTTTGATCAAAATATATCCATAAACAAGCAAACTACAACATTTTACAATATTCTCCATAAGAATAACATGGGAATTTTAAATTTACAATTTTTTTAGTTTTCTCCGTAACCAATAACCGTACAAAAACACTTTGATATACTGAATTGTTTGTTTTTTTAAGCTCTTTAAGAAGGTTTAGAGAAAAATTGGGAAATTTTGTGTTTTGAGGGTAAAAAGTGAGAAAAACCAATTTTTACCCAATAAAACCCCCCATAAAACCCTGTTCCCATGGTCCGATCTAGCTGGATCGCGAACTCATTCAAGTTTATCCCGCCTTACACCTTCAAACCAAATTTCATCAAAATCGGATAAAAATTACTCAAGTTATCGTGTTCACGGACACATATATATATAAATCTATATATATATATACCTATATATATATATATATATATACATATATAAAAATTTGAACGAATGGTGTTTTTGGCCTCTGGGGACATTAAAATGAAAAAGTAGATCGGTCCCGGGCCTAAGTCTTACCATGAGACCTACGGTAATAGCTACTTCCCTATAGGGAAATTCGCTAAAACAAGTAAAATAAAGGTCGTTACAGTATGTAGGGCTGGCGAGGAGTTGCCGAGCACGCTGACCTTGTACGATGTCTACCAAGCTAAGCTGTTTACGAATCAGTGTTTGACTCCTAATGTATGTAGGGCTGGCGAGGAGTTGCCGAGCACGCTGACCTTGTACGATGTCTACCAAGCTAAGCTGTTTACGAATCAGTGTTTGACTCCTAATATATGAAGGGCTGGTGAGGAGTTGCCGAGCACGCTGACCTTGTACGATGTCTACCAACCTAAGCTGTTTACGAATCAGTGTTTGACTCCTAATGCATGTAGGGCTGGCGAGGATTTACCGAGCACGCTGATCTTGGACGATGTCTACCAAGCTAAGCTGTTTACGAATCAGTGTTTGACTCCTAATGTATGTAGGGCTGGCGAGGAGTTGCCGAGCACGCTGATCTTGGACGATGTCTACCAAGCTAAGCTGGTTACGAATCAGTGTTTGACTCCTAATGTATGTTGGGCTGGCGAGGAGTTGCCGAGCACGCTGACCTTGTACGATGACTACCAAGCTTAGCAGTTTATGAATCAGTGTTTGACTCCTAATGTATGAAGGGCTGGCGAGGAGTTGCCGAGCACGCTGACCTTGTACGATGACTACCAAGCTTAGCAGTTTATGAATCAGTGTTTGACTCCTAATGTATGTAGGGCTGGCGAGGATTTACCGAGCACGCTGATCTTGGACGATGTCTACCAAGCTAAGCTGTTTACGAATCAGTGTTTGACTCCTAATGTATGTAGGGCTGGCGAGGAGTTGCCGAGCACGCTGATCTTGGACGATGTCTACCAAGCTAAGCTGTTTACGAATCAGTGTTTGACTCCTAATGTATGTAGGGCTGGCGAGGAGTTGCCGAGCACGTTCATCCTGGACGATGTCTACCAAGCTAAGCTGTTTACGAATCAGTGTTTGACTCCTAATGTATGTAGGGCTGGCGAGGAGTTGCCGAGCACGTTCATCCTGGACGATGTCTACCGAGCTATGCTGTTGCACGACTCAGCGTTTGACTCCTGAGTTGCCAAGCACGCTCACCCTGGACGATGTTTACCGAGCTAAGCTGTTTACGAATCAGTGTTTGATTCCTATTGTATGTAGGGCTGGCAGGGAGTGTCCGAGCACGCTGATCTTGGACTATGTCTACCAAGCTTATTTGTTTACGAATCAGTGTTTGACTCCTAATGCATGTAGGGCTGGCGAGGATTTACCGAGCACGCTCACCCTGGACGATGTCTACCGAGCTAAGCTGTTGTACGACTCAGCGTTTCACCCTGACACGGGAGAGAAGATGATCCTTGTGGGCCGTATGTCAGCCCAGGTCCCCATGAACATGTTCATCACTGGCATGATGATGACCTTTTACAAGTACGATCATTGTTTTCTTTAAATTTATTGGACAGTTTTTATACTAGATAGAATACAGTGATAAAATGTGAAAAGAGTTTTGGCTCTCATAATTGAGTGAGCCAAGGCCCCACTAGAAAAGGTTTTTCTAGTGGGGCCTTGTGTGAGCCGTTCCTTCTATTAGAAGGGTAAGGCATTGACACTAGACACTGTACTACCGTCACCTTGGGTATGGCTGATTGCTGCAGTAACAATATTATGTTTATTCGACTGCATTATAATTACGTAAATATTAGTCGTCGGAGAGGGTATATCTTGTCTCCAGGACCGTGTTTTCTGCAAATGGTGTTTTTATTGATTTGTAAGAATTTACATAAGGTAAATTGGCCATTCACTACTGAGTAAGTAATCTTACTTTTTTAACACGACATAAAATGTTCTTAATTAGTCTAACATACTTTCAATACTAAATTAGTGATAATACTTGCATGACAATCCTAATGAGAATTTTACAAGTAGATGGAGAAGATTTTGTGATCGCCAGTTGGTTATGATGCTCTTAATAAAAAAACTATCGTCTCAATCTTAGTCAGGGCAATCTTGAACAACCCCACAAGCATTTTCCATGAGCTCCAGTTCCATCGAGAGGACGTTGCAGCCTCTCTTGAAGTCCTCAGTCATGTATGGAGCACCTTCTACACACGTTGAGGTGGTGACGAGAGTGAGCTCATGCACTCACATCACGACAACGAATGGCCACACTCATTTGGAAAGGGAGTTACCCCAAGCCTAAGAGTAAGTTTACAAGACTCTGTTAGTAGGTATTATCTCTTTATTTCACTAATTAATTGGTTGTCCTTTGCAAGGTCAACTCCTGCTGTCGTGTTCTGGCAGTGGTTCAATCAGTCTTTCAACGCTGTTGTCAACTATACGAACCGGAGTGGCGCTAATCCCATCCCTGCCGAGTAAGTATTGTTTTGTAAACTAACGTTCGGCAGGTTGGCAATTGATTTAGATACTGGTTCAATCCATTATAATTTACCGCATCTTCTATGAATGTGAAAGTTTGTGTGTTTGTTTTGTTTGTTTGAAGTTCAATCTCGCAATAACTACTGGACGGATTGGGCTGACATTTGGCATGATGATACCTAACATTACCGATTAACCTATAGGCATATTCTTATTTCAAAAATCCTTTTGGGCTCCGCCCCAGTGGCTCTGTAGTTTCCCATGTTAACCTTATGAACTCCTTCATTTTAAAAGGAATTAAATAATTTAGTCAACTTACAAGTTGGTTCTATAATATGCAATAGCATTAAAAATATATAAGGTTTCCAAACAGGATGCTGCACTATTATTTTTTTTCATATATGGCAACAGGTAATTTGAACTAAGCAGCAACAAAAAGCTGTGATACACAATGAGAACTGTCAAAGTAGGATTGTTTACAGTTATGTTTAAGTTATTAATTTAATGAATAACAAGCTGTTGGCCCGTCTACGTAACGGGAATCAAGTACCGTAGTCGATTAAAACTGATTATAATTCAGAACAGCTAGTTCACTCGCTAAGAAAATTCTGGCAGTTTTAATAGGAAAAAATTATCTCGTAAACAAATATCACGTGACCACCTACTTTTTTCATCCGATTATAGGCCTATACGATACGCATTTCAAATCCGATAATTTTACATTACAACAGCGATTGTGTTGATCTGAAAAGCCTTAAAGTGGGATTGGTGGTCGATTTACTAAATATCACCTTCCATTGCATACTACTCAAAGATAATCTTGTTTTACCGCAGTGGCCACTGCAACCTTAAGAGGATTTTGGCCTCCCATTCTCTTCTATCCCTTGCCTCTTTTAATGTTGATTCCAGTCTGGAGAATTATTTATTGCTTGGTACTCCATGTGGTCCTCTTACTTGTGGTATTCCTTGGAATAATTTTTTTCAAGTTGATGTATCCCTCTCCTCCACGCATAGCCTGTCCATCCGAGCTTTTTACTTTTGAAATCACCCATAAATCTGGGTGATTATTCCTCTTAGCTCTCTGTTCTTTTTCATCTCAACTACCATTATCTTGAAATGTCCCGTATATTTTCTCTGTACTCTATTCCCAAATTCAGCAATAAGAGGGCTCAATTTTCTGAACCATTCTGTACTACCGGGATAATGTGTAATGTGTGTGTGTATTGATCGAATTTGGTTTATCCTGACACCCTGCAGCTTATTGAGCAGTTTTCTAGAGACGTACCAAACCAGTTAACATTTGCTTTATCAACCAAAAATTGTGTATGCCGACATAGATTTGACATTATTAAATAAATCGTCCCTACCTATTTTTTACTGTATATCAATTTTACTGCATTAATTGCTAAACACTAGGTAAAACCGCTCGAAATCGACGGTAACTTTCAAGGCTTACACCAATTCATCTAACTGCAATAAATTGAGTGAAATTATACATATTTTGAGCATTTAGCATTGTTTAAAGAGTAATAAGTTTAAAAACAATAATGATATTAATTGCGTTAGTAACCAAATATGGTTGATCATTCAATAAATAAAATATTCCCCATACCGTACGTCATAGGAGTTATTTTTAGTATGTTCTCTGGTATCTCTTCCTTCGGAAGAACCTTTAAATAGTATTAAAATTGTATTGGTGGATCTTTTGTAGTTAAACACTTCCGTGATTTCATCAGTGTAATGCAGATTAATCTATGATATTATTTAAAACAAAATATCTGTTTGTTGGGAAGACACGTTCTAATTTCAAAGGGAGGTATATCCGTTACTGGATCGTGCAGGCATAGATGCTCAAACAGTGTCTTGTTGAGCGGAAGATAATTCTTTTAACCACTTATGAGTATGTAAGATATGTCAAGTAGCCTAGTTTACCTCTGTGCTAGTATTAATTTTACCCGTTTGTTTTAGTCAGCTGGCAAAGTCATACGCAATGGCAACAAGTGGGGCTTTAGCTACCGCCCTTACCCTCAATAGGATGGTTAAAGTAAGTAAATTACTATTCTTTTATGGACCATTGCTGTGGTTTCCAGATTCCAATCAGTAACAATTATTATTGTGTGGGCATGTTGAACAGTCCTACAAATATATCATTGAGGAAAATAACTTTTATTAGATCTAGTCCTTCGATACTGAGTTTTGCTCGGAGGAAGTCATTAGTTTACAAGACCTTTTTTCGCTGAAGGTTTGGTAATTGGTATGTAAATGTTCTTTAATATGTAATGTAATCTGTTAAAATGGTAAGGGGTAATATTCTTTTCCTACAGTCACCCGACAAAGTTGGCTTCCATGTACTGTTTATAGTACAGAAAGCTGCTAATTGCTGCATATTTATACTTTGCCGTACGGTTTATACTTTGTCGTACGGTTTATATTTTGCCGCACATCAGGATTCCAACGAAACAACACAACACAGCGTGGTTCTATTATGCACGTAATCCGTGTACGCTTGGAAATAGGTCTCTTGGATATTCGATCTACCTCTTTAAAAACTAATTATCACAGATTTTGTATTATAAATATTTCTATATATATTCGTTATATCAAAAACTATATGTTTTACCAGATATTGCTTTTTGTTCAATGAATTGCCAATGATTGAAATGTAATGATATTTTTTTCTTTTTTAGTTATTTTTTTTATTGTATAATTGTACTTGGTATCGTTTGATAGGTTACAAATGCTAAATAAAAGGGTTCCTGACATTTTTTCATAAAACCAGTCATTTTGGAGTAATTTAAGTATAAAAGTTTTGAATGGCCGCCATTTTGAAATTTAGGTTGAATCAAGGTGAAATATTTGTATAACACGGGTCTCTTCTACCTTAACCTACATACCAAGTTTTATAAAGATCGGTTGAAACTATTAGAAGATAAAAATGTTTATGTATAACATACACAATGGCGGATATCTGGTTAACAAAGCGATTTTGGGAAACAATTTTATTCTTGATTTTATCTTTCTTTTGACCCAAGGAATCACTAGGTAAAATATGTCCCCACCTTTTTTGAACACCCCTGTATATGTGTCCGTTAGCGCGATAACTCGAGCAAAAATGATCTGATTTTGATGAAATTTGGTATAAACGTGTAAACCTACATTTATTCGAACAAATTCGTGAACCAGCATGATCGGACTATGGGAACAGGGGTTTATGGGGGGTCTTATGGGGTAAAAATGGGTTTTCCTCATTTTTCGGTTGTGTCCATTTTGCGGTCGTCCATTTACCGGTCAAGGGTAAAATCGTCCATTTACCGGTCAACCCAAAAATTTGGAGGGGTGGGTCAAAAAAAGTTTTCCATTTTGCGGTCACATATTTCTAAAATTCCGAGAACATGTGAGCCAGGTTGATGACTCAGAGTGGTTAGCCAGGCCGATGACGCGTCGGTATGTTGTACACCAATGCACCAATAGTATGTGACCAAACTATGCAATAAACTTATTCAAATCACGAGTAGTACTGTATTATGTGTATTTGAACATTTTTCTTAAAGAGAAATGAAATAAGTTTTAATCCTTTAAAAGAATGATAAACGCACTTTGGCGGTCAGAAGACGCGATGATTGTTGAACATCACACTTTTTACTCCACGTTTCTTTGGGCAAGAAAAATCATAGTTCAATAATGATTTTTTTATATTAAAAAAAATCTAGAAATTAATTGTATCTCAAAGATAAACTAACCACTCGGAAAGAAGTACGGCGCACAAGACAGGATAGCCTACTGCATTTGCCTCGTGTAAACTTTAATTCAACTTCTAACTAGAAGGGGTTTTCTTTTTTCGGCCCTCAGGAATACAATTTTTTTACCTGAAAGAATTAAAATTTTAAGTTATAAGGCTCTCAGACGAGAAACAAGAAAACTCTATTTGTAAATATAGGTTAGTTGTATTAGTTTTAATTAAATTATTTGTTCTCTTTTATTATAGTATTGAATACTGTGTACCTGACTTGAGTTGTTTTGAAAGGCAGTGTATTTTTGTACTGAAACCCGCTTTAGATAAATTACGTTTCTATTCTATTTTATTTAATATAAAGGTGGTTCCATCAACAACTCCTCGTGAAGATCTAAAACTCGACATCTGCAAACAATCAAGAAATGTTGCTGCTCTAGTGCATGGAACCTATTCATTCAAAATAGTCTGGTATTCTAGGAATCGAAACCTGACCGCAAAATGGAAAACCTCCCCTCCCTAGAGCCTCCTCACCCCCACACTTGACCGGTAAATGGACTGACCGGTAAATGGACTGACCGCAAAATGGAAGACTCCCATTTTTCACCCTGAAAACATAACATTTTGCAATCTCTTTCTAAACCATTTTGTAGAGCTAAAAAAAAACAAATAATTTAGTAGATTGAAGAAATGTTGTATGCCTAACGGTTACGGAAAAATCCCAAAAAAGTGTAAATTTAAAATAACCATGTTATTCTTATGGAAAATAAATAAACTGTTGTAGCTTGCATGTCTATGTGTACCTATATTTTAATGAAATTTTTAAATTTTGTTTACTTCATACTAAGCTATCAATATTTTAATAAAAACCCCTATTTTCTTCCCTGTAGCAGCAAACCTAAGTACTCATTAAAATTAATGATACTTATTTAGGGAATAAATCTGACAATTTTTAGGGAATAATTTAGTGGAATTCCAGCCAGGTAGATGAAAATTCGCTTAGTCTGCAGGTTTGCTGCGGCGGGGGTATTTTATTTAGTTCCTTTTTAATTATCTAACTTGTATTTGTTTTACATATTGAACATTTAGTAGCAATCCTAAACAATCCATTTTTCATTTCAACAATTTCTGGATTAATATTTGCGGTCTTCTTCTTACATTCATGACAATGAATAGGTTCTTCCATTCAGATATAAAAATGTTTACATATAAATGGATATGTGTTATAGATGCCATAATTTTACTGATTTCACAAATTATTGGAAATTGTGTAGGATGAAATATATGTAAAATAATTATATTTAAGAGAAAGATTAATAATAAACGTAAGAATAAGAACAAACATCTTATAAATATTTTAAGGAAATTTAATCATTTTCAACCATATTGTACACAACAACTATAGTTCGGCCGCTTATAAAACGACCTGCGCGCTAATGCTAAACCAATCTGGAGGAGGTCGCTTTCTAAGCGGCCGAACTATACCAATGAAATCTATACATTATGTATTTTAGATAATAGTTTTGAAATAACACCTAAAAACATAAAATTATTTTTAAAACAAAGAAAGTATACAAACTAGATATTTTACTATCAATTCTTAAACAAAATATATAATATTGATTTCAAATTGAGTTTTGGAGATGAAACAAATATTACATTAATTTGTAATGCATATTTCAGTTTTACAAAAGGAAATATATCATTTTAAAAAATATTCCAATTATTTTTAGACATTTTGAATAGAATTTTTGTATTAAACCAGATTTTGATGATATTTTTTTAAGATTCTTAAATCATCCATCAAAGATTAATGAAATGATATTGAAGTCGTCACTATACGTGATTCAATTCCTTTGATATCACGGACGATTAATATCAAACATTAGAAATGACCAAATAAATTTTAACAAAAACTAGGTATCTTCTTTATTGTATTCAACAAAACAACACACTGAAACTATTCTTTGTTTTCAACCGGAAACAATTGAGGAAACATATGATTGTTTATTTATTAATCATGAAACAGTCTTTGGACAAACTTATATAGAAATATCTATTGAGGGTTTTCTTTATAGATATTAATCATCGTACGTCAATCATCCCCCCCAAAACCCTCAATATATATATTAAATCTTCCTCTTTCTAGACCTTAAGTTATAACCAGGTAAGGCATCGTTATGGTCTTCTGCTTCTAGTTCATCATCTTCGGCTTGAGTTGCTTCACGGAGAGTTTGCGGGAGTAATTTCAACTCCGACATGTGTACCTTAATTGGTGGATCAGACCTCAAGAGGTACACTCCCTTCCCTAGCTTGTGTTCCACCTCAAATGGTCAAAGCCATTTCCGTGCCATCCCTGCATGCACATTTGTAAGCTTACTACTCAAAGGATGGTTTCGCCGAAGAACCAACGTACCCGGTTTCAGGTCCTGCTCTTCAGGTACATCATTTCTCTCTGCTTCCCTCTTCGAACTCTCTTCGGCTTGTCGATTCATACGTTTGATTTGTTTTGCGTTCTCTTCATGCCATGCAGTCAAATTCATAGTTTCAGGAGATTTTTCATGCATAAAGTTCCAATCACCAGTTCTTTTTATTTCCCGAACGAGAAAAAAGTTCTGCTGGAGAGAACCCTGTGACCCGATTCACTCGTTGTCTGATGGCCAGGAGAGACTCATGCAAGTTTTGATCCCATTTGGAATGTTATTTGTCAAACAAATGAATTCTGAACAGCTTCTTAAGCTCCTGATTTCTCCGTTCAGTAGGATTTGCCTGAGGATGGTAGATTGGCGTTGTCCAGTGTTCAATAGCCCACTCAGTTAAAGTCCGCAACCATTGTTTTGACATGAACGGACTGCCATTATCTGTGAGAAGACACGTGGATAACCATACCGACTAAAGACCTCTGTTCGTAGGATCTGCAGGATTCTTCCCGATGTAGCTTCAGGAATAGCAAATGCTTCGACCCACCTGGTAAAAAGGTCTGTCACCACCAAAATTCCAGTCTTCCCTCGAGATGTTCTGGGATATGGTCCCATAAGATCTAGAGCAACAACCTCCCACGGCTGGTGTGGCCGACGTCCTCTCATGCTTGTACTAGCTTTTTGGTTGTTAGCCTTGGTACAGGCACAGATAGTGCAGGATTGGACGTAGTTCTTGATGTCCCGATGCATATTTACCCAGAAGGAACGACGCCGAATCGAAGTGTAGGTCTCGTCTTGTCCTGGATGGCCAGCTTCAGGGCTGTCGTGGTACTTCTCTAGAATCCTTACGGCCTGAGACTTCGGAACTACAATCACAGGAGAAGATTCTGATAGATGAGATTTGTACATAAGTAAACTGTCTTCCAAGCGAAGGTTCTTATAGCATGTCTTGAACTGGAATGGGACAGCTTCAGAATTAGTGTAACGTTTGGTTATCCAGGATTTCATTCTACTACAAGCTGCATCTTCATTCTGCCATTTCTTTATCAGTTCCAAGTCAATGTCACAATTTCCCGTTGTGCCACCATAAGAACAGGCTCAATCTGTCTTAACTTCATTGGGACTGGAACTTCCCTCTCCATGAGTTCTTTGGATATCTCACCACTGTCTACCGGGTTTCTTGACAAGCTATCAGCGGCTTGATTTAACTCTCCTGGGACGTGATGTATTTCAAAGTCAAAATCGGCCAAAATTTAGGACCATCGCATCAGTGTTGACTTGGTTCCGGATACTTTGTTTAGCCACTGTAGTGATGAGTGATCAGTGAATAATTTAAATTGTCTTCCCTCGAGATACCCCCTGAATTTCCCGACTGCCCACACTACCGCCAGAGCCTCCTTTTCAGCTGTACAATAGTTTTTCTCAGAAAGGGAAAGTTTCCTGCTTGCATATTCAATGATATCCTTGCCTCCTTCTATCCGCTCTTGAAAGAGAACAGCCCCAAGGCACATTACTGGCATCTGTCTGTAAGCATATTTCCCGGTTGGGGTCCAAATAAGCTAATCCCGGAGAGTCACAGATGGATCTCTTTATCTCCCTGAAAGCTTTCTCTTCCGTCTCGGTCCATTTAAAAGGTGTATTTTTATGAAGAAGGTCAGTCAGAGGTGAAACCTTGGATTCAAAATTAGGTACAAAACAACTGTACCAACCGCACAGGCCCAAAAATTGTCGTACTTTCCGCTTCGTACCAGGTCTTTCATACTCTTCAATAGCCTTGTTTTTCTCAGTTTGTCTCTCTAATCCTTTGTCTGTTAACACATGACCCAGATATTCTACTGAGTTGGACATAAAGTGACATTTCTTCACTTGACAGGTAAGTCCATAAATTTTTAATCTTTCTAATACTCTAGCCAAATGTTCCAAATGGTCAGAAAATGTTTTGCTGTAAACTAGTATGTCATCCAAATAAACTTGACAAAATTCACCAACATAACCCGACAAAACTTTGTCTATCAGACGCATAAATGTTGCTGGGGCATTTTTCAATCCAAAGGGCATAACACGGAATTGATATAGCCCCCTTGGTGTTCAAAAAGCGGTCATAGGCCGAGATGATTCTTCTACCTCTACTTGCCAATAGCCAGAATTCAAATCTAAAGTGCTAAATACTTTGGCCCCACTAACTTGCTTAATCAGATGTCGTAGAACAGGCATTGGGTAAGCATCAGCAATAGTTTTATTGTTGACTTCACGTAAATCCACACAAAGTCTGTAGTCTCTGTTCTTCTTTTTGGGTAATACTATTGGTGAAGCCCATCCTGAAGATGACAGTTCAATTAGCCCTTGATTTTCCATTTCCTTTACTTTTTCTATGACAAACTTCCGTTTGTCGGGATTAAGAGGGTAAGGTTTCTGTTTGACAGGAGTGTTATCTTTACAAGAGATCTTGTGTTTTACCGTAGTAGTAAACCCAATTCTGTCTGTAATTACCTCTTGAAAGATACTGAGTAAATTAATCAAGTCTGTTCTTTGATTAAGATCCAATATCCCTGTTTTCAGTTCATCCAAAACGTTGTTTTCTAATTCTGCTTCCAAATCAAACTGTTAGTCCTCTAACCATCCCAATCTAACTCTATTTTTAATGCCGAAAAATATTTCTTTTGCTGTACAATCTATTAACACACCGTATTTGACAAGGAAATCATGCCCTAGTATGATTTCCGGGATTAAATCCTTAATCACTTTTACCGGAATGTGAATAGATTCTTGAGAACATTTGGCTTCAAGAAAAGTAAATCCTTCGATTTTGTAATTTATATCCTGTACTGCACCTTTGACAACAGTTACGCTGTCTGGACGAACAGGTTTTAATAATTTCGCCACCGACATGCCAATAAACGAATGTGATGCTTGAGTATCAAGGACTGCAGTATAATATTTGTCACCAACCTGTAAACTAATTGCCGGACGAGGATTTCCCACACTCTCACTAGAAATTTGACCAATATCTTTCTGACTGGTAGTTTTGGGACTTAGAAACTCTTCTAGAACCATTCTCGTCCCTATTAGAACGGTTCTGTTCTAGTTTTCCGGACAACGGGCCTTCACATGCCCAGTTTGCCCACATTGATAACATTTAAAGGAGTTATCAGGGTTCGAAGTTCTTGTTTTTGAGGAATAAAAGCTTACCTCTTCGTCTAGCTTTGCTACTATGCTCCTGAGCTCGTCAAATGATTTTGGTTGAGCTACCTTAACTAGAGACCTAATCTTATCATGTAAAAGTTCCACAATATAAGTAACACTCTCGTCAATACTCCCACCATCATTCATTCTCTTAAACAACTGTAACTTTTGAATAACAAATGCCCCAGCCCTCATGCCACTAGGCTGAACATCTGTCAAGAATTTCTTAGTGATTAATGCTTTGACAGCCTGTGAATTAAATCTCTGCATAAACTCATGTTTGAATGTGTCCCATTCTAGACTTAGACCCTTAATGTTTTGCCACCAAGTACCCGCCGAACCCCTCAACTGTTGGCTCACAATCTGCAGATATATTTCTGACGGTATACACGTCCTTTTTAACAAAGATTCGCACGTAGCTAGAAACGCTGTGGGACATTCCTCCAACCTCCCGTGAAATTCTGGTAGACTGTCTTTTATAATGCTGAGATCTACCGTAGGCATGAAAGATAGTTGGGATTCTGGATTATTCAAAGTAATTGTCTTTTCCTGTGAGGATACCTGTGTTCCAATAACTTCCATTTTATTGTTAAATTTAGTTTCCATGTAATTAATTTTAGTTTCCAATTCATTTAATTTATCAGAGTTACTATCAAAATTTGTTTCTAACTTTGTAATTTTATCAATGGTTTGACAACATCTGACTCCAATGATTCGATTCTTTTTCCTAATTTTGAACAGTTTTGAGAAGTTTGTTCCACAAGTGATGACATTTTACTACCTATTAATATATGCCGATTGTGAGTCAAGTATCTCAGATTGGATATCTAGCTTCTCCAAAATTTTGGACAGTAGAGTACTCACCGGGTCAGGTTGTGGTATTTGTTCTGCCAACGTGGTATTTCGTCCTACCCGTGGTCGAAACTCGTAGGCTCTGCTTCCTGTCCCCTTCTGCTCACCTTCTTCCAAGCCTTTCTCTAGCATTTCAGTTGTTAAATCTTCAACTCCTAATTTTGTCATTTCTCAATTAAAAGTCCTGTCACGGTCGCCAATTGATGTCGTCACTATACGTGATTCAATTCCTTTGATATCACGGACGATTAATATCAAACATTAGAAATGACAAAATAAATTTTAACAAAAACTAGGTATCCTCTTTATTGTATTCAACAAAACAACACACTGAAACTATTCTTTGTTTTCAACCGGAAACAATTGAGGAAACATATGATTGTTTATTTATTAATCATGAAACAGTCTTTGGACAAACTTATATAGAAATATCTATTGAGGGTTTTCTTTATAGATATTAATCATCGCACGTCAATAAAAAATGATATAATAAATCGAAATTGTGATTTTTTGATAACATCAAGTTTACATCAGATATTCATATATTTGGCCCAGGATCGGCATGAAACTATCTACTGACGTATAGTTACACGTATAGTTGACATTATATACTTTTTGTTTTATCTTACTGTTTTTGTTTTTAACCTCTAGAGACCTAAAAATGGAAAAGTATATTGGTCCCGGCTTAAAGTCTTACTCAACGAACACAGACTCATTCGTCTTCCCGTGCCACCTACGGTAATAGCTACTTCCCTATAGGAAAATTCGCTAAAACACTCACTCATAGTCTTAATATATTCATATTTTTGGCATAAACATACACAAATTGACATCTATTGGCTACTTATTAGACTGTTTTAATTTTCAGAGAGCACCTCCTCTTATTGGTCGCCTAGTGCCTTTTGCTGCCGTAGCTGCAGCCAACTGTATCAACATTCCTACGATGAGAATTAAGTAAGCAAACTAGTCGTAAAAAATGTAATAAATAACTTCTCAATCAACATAGTACAGTACAAGATGTAAAAATTTTAACAAGTTAAATAATTAATACGTTAAAACTAAATCATAAAATAATTAACTCACAGAGCAGTTTAACCTCTTAGAAGATATTCTTTAACTAAACTCTTTCTGCAATATATTTAAATTATTCCTAAATCATAATAGCTTTTTTATGAATTTAGGCTGTGAATACTTACCATGTATAGTTTTGTTTAAGGGAGATTGAGACTGGGATACCAGTGTACGATATAAACAACAACAAGCTTGGCGAGTCAAAGGTGGCTGCCAAAACAGGCATCGCAGCTGTGGTCTTCAGTAGAGTAGTGATGGGGTCACCAAGCATGGGTCAGTTTAATTGTGTCACAGATGTAAGTAGGCAAATTTAGAAGCATCAATACATTCTGTTAAATTTAATTATTTGCATTTCAATTTCAATTTCAATCGCATTAAAGCGAAAGAAAAATAGTGTTAAGACGTGTACATGTTACAAGTATGTGTTGAGAGACCACAAACAACGCATTTGCTGTATATTGTTGGAGTATAAGTCCAAGAAGCTGACCAACAACAAAGAATTACATAACGAACGCGTAAAAACTAAATTTTAAAATTTAAATTAAAAAATTCCTAATTAAAAAAAAAGATTGAAAAAAATTTAAGAACCCTTTTAATTAGCATTTAATTAAAATTTCTTATCAAACTACACCAACTGCAAAAACATTGAATAATAAATAGCAAAAATATCACGATTTGTAGGTAAAAATCAGGTAAAATGAGGGAAGCTGGCTCAAGTTTTTTCAATATTCCACCTAATTTACAACTAAAGATCGTTATATTTAAGCTATTTTTTATTCGATCTTTTTGGCCTTGGTATCGTTTGATAGGAAGTTTTAAATGCTTCCTTGACATTTTTCCATAACATCAGCTATTTTTTGTCATTTAATTTTAAAAATTTGGCCACCATTTTGAACATTTTAATTGGATCAAGTATTTTTTTACATGGGTCTCCTCAACCTTAAACACACACACCAAAAAAGATCGGTTGAAACGATTCAAAGATAAAAATGTTTATGTAAAAATACAAATTGGTGGATATCTGGTTAATGAAGTGATTTTGAAAAACTTTAATTCTTGATTTTCTCCTTATTTTGACCTGCAAACCTTAATTTTGCATTCCGAGCAAGATGTGTCGTAAGTTAGCGGTTTTAAACTGCCTGTACTTCAACTGTCGTTAATAATTATTGTGCATTTAGTAAATTAACCTCATCACTAAAGAAACGGCTAGTCACATAGAAACATGTATTTCTTAAGTTTTGAATTACTTACGTAGGTTTGTTATTATTTCAGTGTTAACCCCAGTCATAGTGAACAAGCTAGATCAGAAGGGGGTGTTCAGAAGGTATCCGTGGAGTGCAGCGCCAGTGCAGACTCTCATCTGTGGAGCCATTCTGACGTTCGCTACTCCAATGGCGTGTGCAATATTCTCCCAACGAGCTCAGATCAACGTCGACAAGCTCGAGAAACATATCCAGGTGAGCTCCTCTGGCAAGCTCGCTCCCAAGTTCGTAAAATTATAAGGATTTTGACAACTTTTAGCATAAATATTGCGACCTTTCCCCTCTTTAAAAATGTT